CAAATAAATAAATAAATAAATCTTTGAGGGGAAAAAGAAACACATCATGAAGTTTTGGGGATTTAAAGTATAAAGAAGATAGGAGCTTTGTAGAGAAAGGGATAAGTCACCTAACGGCATGGGAGGAAGAAAGTACTGCATCCTAAAGAATCGGGAAATTTTCATAATTCAAATCTAATGCTGTGTTAGAGTTCTCCAAGTAAATGGAAACAACAGGGTATATGTATTTTTTTAAGATTCGTTTAATTTTTTTTGAAAGATACACAGAGAAGAGGAGAGACAGAGGAAGATCTCCCGTCCGCTGGTTCACTCCCCAAGTGGCCAGCTCCAGTGGCTGGAGCTGCACTGACTCACAGCCAGGAGCTAGAAGCCTCTTCCAGGTCACCAACGCATGTGCAGGTTCCCAAGGTTTTGGGCCATCCTGGACTGCTTTCCCAGGCCACAGGCAGGGAGCTGGATGGGAAGCGAGTGTGCTGGGGTTAGAATCAGCACCCATCTGGGATTCCAGCACATGCAAGGTGAGGACTTGAGCTGCTAGACTACCAGGCAGGGCCCAACAGAGTATGTGTATCAATGTATCTATTGTAATGAACTTGGGCTGTCCTGGACTCCAGTAAGTCCCGTGGCCCTCGTGGCCCTCGTGGCCCTCGGTCATCAAGCTGAAAACCCGGGAGAGACAAAACCTAGATGTTTGGCTCCGATCTGCACATAAACAGCCCAGGACACATAAAACATGGGTGAGACCAAATGCCAGAGAAGATCAATACCCTGGCTCATGGACTCAGGTAGAAATGGTTCCCTGTTACTCAGCCTTGTCTTAGATGTGCTTAGGTCTATTCAAATTTTCAAGTGATTATAAGAGACCCGTTTACTTTAGAGAAGGTACTATCCAAAATTCATGAAAAATTCATTTGTCACTACAGTGACATTAAGAGGCAGAACCTCCAAGTGGGCAGTGGGTTATGAATTCTCTCTCTTCATCAGTGGTTTCATGGTAGTCTGCGGACTGGGCTCCTGATAAGAGACTACAGGTTGAACCCCGCCCCCCCCACTCCCTCTGTGTTTGGTGTCTGCTCGCTTGCCTTTCGCCAGGTTTGAACAATCAGAAAGAGCTGCTCCAGATACAGGCATCATGCTCTGGGACTGCTTTTTTTTTAAAGATTTATTTTTATTATTTATTTATTGGAAAGGCAGATATACAGAGAAGAGGAGAGACAGAGAGGAAAATCTTCCACCCGATGATTCACTCCCCAAGTGAGCACAACGGCCGATACTATGCCGATCTGAAGCCAGGAGCCTCTTCCGGGTCTCCCACGCGGGTGCAGGTTCCCAAAGCTTTGGGCCGTCCTCGACTGCTCTCCCAGGCCACAGGCAGGGAGCTGGAAGGGAAGTGGGGCTGCCGGGATAGAACTGGCGCCCATATGGGATCCCGGGCGTGCAAGGGGAGGACCTTAACCACTGCACCACTTGCGCCACTGCGCCGGGCCCCCATGCTCTGGGACTTCTAAGCATCCAGAAACATGGGCCAAATAAATTGACATGTTTATAAATTACCCAGTCTATGGTATTCTGTTATATCAGCAGAAAATGGACTCAGCCATCTGCTTTACTCTGTCCACTGATTGAAATGCTAATTTCATCCAAAAACAGCCTGCCAGACACACTCAGAATAGAAATTTGACCCTCTATCTAAGCACTTCATGGCCCAGTTGATACATAAAATTAACCTTCAAAGTACACAAGTCATAAAGGACCAAAATTATTTAAGATTTCAGTATAGAATTTTATGAACAGAAACAAGAAAGGTAATAAGAATAAAGGCCTAAGCAAAATCTGTGAGGTTGTCAAACTACAGAGACTAATGAGGTTAGATAAGAGTGTATTGTCATAAACCTTTCAATGAAATTTGGACATTGTATTTGAGAAATATATCATTTGGTCAGTTAAATTCAGAAGGTGCAATAATTTGGAGACATTGAAATTTAGAAAATAACCCTCAAAAGAATCCCCAAAGGCATGGAATAGGTTTAGTGGAAACTGAGAACATGTTCACAACGTTAAAAATAAATCAACAGAATTGTTGATAACAATAATGCAAAGAGACTAGGGGAAGCTATAGCTATATCAGAAAAAAATAGACTTTAATGAAAAATTTAAAAAAACAATAATGCAGAAGATTATTGAATCAGAATATTGTGTCACTGATAATGAGAAATTGAGAAGAGATTTATTTAAGGGATCAATGATGAGATATTTGAGATGGCATGTCATTACCTTCTAATATTCAATCTCTAAAGAAAATATTAAAAATGAAAGCAAGGAATCTTCCAAAAGCTCCTGAATAATGCCTGTCATGAAAAAATTATGCTTGAATTCAAGGCTTGGCATCAGAATACATTGATCATTTAATTCCAGTTTTCCATGAACTTGATTATGTAGTATTTTTGCATATGGTTGACTTGAATCATGGAAAAATATTCATCAGATAAAACCAAACTGCTGTAACTGAATCACAGTTATGTTAAAATAATCTCTTGATGTAAATGTTTTACTAAATTGCAAATATACTGCTAAAGGTTTTGATTACTGTGTATTTATTCAAATGGTAAGACCGTTAGATTTGGGCTTATTAGACCAGTGATTAGGCTTAAAGTATCATTCTGCTTTATTATTTCTTAAATAATTTTATCATAATTGTAAACACTCATTACTTTCTTTGTAATGAAAATATTTTAAAAATTGAATAATGCTTATTTCGCGTCTTAGTTTAAACTCTTCCAGCAATACATGACTTGCTGCAACCAATAATGAATTCTAACTTCCATCTATTTTTCAAAGGACAAGAAATTAAAGTATTTCTTAGATTATAGAATTCTCTCCTATCTTTTATTTTAGGAGCATTTTTGATACTAGTTTTTTGTTTCTCATGTTGTTTCCGTATTAAAAATATCATTAGATTCTTCTTGACACAAGAGAGATCAGAGTTTGAAACTGGGTTTGGAGCACGGGATATGCCAGAGATGGGCAGCCTTTGATGAGGTGACACTGATATTTTCCGTCTCAGAGACAGAATAACCAGGCAGAGCTCAAAACGTACTAGGGCATTGGAGCCATGCTAGTGCTAATAAGGTTACTAGGTGAGTTCGCAGAAATGAGAAAAGCAGATAAAATTTAAAAAATATATTTTAAAAAAAAGTTCTAAGTCGAATTTTATGATTGTAGTGTAATGTTTTGACAAAAGCAATTACAAATGTCAGGTGCTCCAATGCCTTTATTTTATGTGTTCATTCTTCTCCTGGTTAGTATTTTGATAAACATGTTTTGGAATTTATATATAGCATGGGTAAAGTATTAATTGGGGAAACTACTTGAAGGATACATGTATCTGCTGATCCTTTCATAACATGAGTAAAATTACTGTTGTCTTTATAGTGTTTTTCAATATTCAGGTCATTGCCATTTTTCAGTTAGTGTTGTCTCCTGGTATTCAGTGTGGAGTCAGATAAATGGATAAGTATTCCATATTCTTCTCCTCCATGACCACGTGTATTTTAGACTGTTTCAGAAATGTTTTTATTTGAAAAAACATGTGTATACATATTTCCCTGACAGTCTAACAGTTTCTGGGAGAATATTCATGCCTTTTAAAACCTGTTTTTTTTTTTTTTTTGGTTATAGATTTATCATCTTTTTAAAACCTTACCTCCCATGATTTCTTTTTAAATGGTTCACAGTTAAATTTAAATTTCTATGTTTAGATAGGATTATGTTTATATACCAACCACCAGTGTCCAGGAAATTCAGTGGTAAAGCTAACAAAATAAGGAGTTTATAGTCTGTTTTGTCCTATGTATATTTGTAGAAGTTTTGAAGCTTACTTAGCAGAATCACTTAAACATTCAAACAATTTCTTTAGCACAAATTCACTATTTGATTCCAGATAATTGTGAAGATAACAGTGCACCACTCTTTGAAGATTAGTTCCCAAGAATAATTGCTAGATTTATTCATTTCAAAGCAGATTGCATTACGAACAGCTTTTATACATAAATATTTTTACAGTATTTCAGATTGGCTAAAGTTGGTTTGGTGCAATCAGCATGGTTTGATCAAATTTGGAAGAGGTTACGGCCACATTTTTGTAGTGTTTTCTCCAGCATCTTTATTTTTTTCAGATGGACATATTTTATGTTTCTTCCCACTAATCAAAATAAGAAACTGAGTTTGCCTGTGCCAGAAAATAGAACTATCACTTTTCACATTCTTTCATTTTTCAGGTCATTTTCAAATAAGATTGTGTTTCTAGTACTTCTGAATTCCTGAACACTCTTAACTTTGTAGATATAAGTGCCCAGATGAACATTTCAGGGGGAATCTAACTTTTCATGCAGTATGTTTTGTGTTGTGCATTCCAGATACAGTTAACTTTTTGTGTGTGTGTGATTAGTGTGGAAAGAAATTAATGCAGTCCAGTATTATGATTTATGGACTGAATCTTTTAACCACTGAAGACTTGCCAAAACTAAAAGTATTTTTTTCCCTTTGGATATTAGAAACAGCTACTGTTTTTGTTGATCTTTTAAAGTTCTGAATGGGCCTATTTCAAATCATACCAGCATGGGAGCTCAGATTAATAATATACTTATTCAACTAGTGATACTGAGTGAAACCATTGCTCACATGGGTAGGAAGGATAAAATTTCATAAAATTATTTTCAGGTGCATTAATGCATTTCTGGAAGCTGTACATGATATTTCTTTTGCATGAAAAATCAAAGATTTCTATTTATTGTATCAGTTACAGGGGGGCTCATAAGTTAATTTAATTGCAGTTTTAAATATCTCAAAATGAAAGATCTTTTGCTTTTAAAATCAATAATGTGAATGCAGGATTTTTCCCCAAGGTTTTTAATTCTTAGTATATTGATCTGTTTTGAGATATCATGACTGTATTTCATTTATGTTATGAAGACATATTTCTGATTCTCCTTTGTTGTTAGCTACAGCAAGCTGCTGAAGTTTCTCAGCTGCGGGGAGCAAGAGTAATTTCTCCTGAAGATCTTCTCTTTTTGATGCGCAAAGATAAGGTAATCTAAAATAATTTTAGTATGTTAAAATTCTCAGTGTGTGCCTTAGTAATAACTTAAAGGAGGAACCTACGCCATCTTTGTTCTTTAGTTTTCAAGTGCGTATCAGAACTATTGAATTGATGTTTTAGACTTCAGAGTTCATACAGAAAAATAGGTTTCCTACACAGATTTAGAATTTACAAGAATGGATGTGTTTATGTAAAAATTGTGCTACCCTGATCTTCATTTCTTCCATGTCTGTTTAAATGTTTTCATTACTACATAAAATTTACTAAATATTAACTGTGTTTTGTTCTCATGAATGGGATATAGCCGGTAGGCTTAATTGTTTTACTTCTTGTTTTGTGTACTAACATTATCATAATCATATGCTTTTGTACATTAATTTTTTATATTTGAAGCACAAAGTTCTTTTGTGACATTGGGCAAAGGGAAGTAGGTCCATTAAGATGAATTTATTAGTAGCATCAGAATGTGCCCCAATTTCCATTTCTCGAAAAGAAATGCTTGTCTTATGTTTTAACTCTGACATTAAACTAATTAAACCAATGTTTAAGGTTAGTTTTTTCGGGTATAAAGACTTTGTAGTATTTTACATGTTCCACAGACTCATCTCTTAGATAATATGAAATGACTTCACTCTCCAGAATTTTCTAACCTGGCTGAAAAAAGTCTGCATGACTGAGGTGAAAGAACATTTTAAGGTCCACAGAATTTCAGGATTATACAGTGAGATGGCAATATTGTAGGATTGTTGCAGTGGAGATTCTGTCTAGACTGAGGCCCGTGGACTCATGTATAGATTAGACCAAATGCAAGGAAACTTACAGACTGCTGTGTCAGTAATGAGGGTGAAGTTGATTAGTATGGAGTCTCTGGAAACGAAAGAGAAGGAAGAATTCCAAGAAACAGTGTAGAATTAGGAGTGTATCAGATTTGGTGACTTCATTGTTCTTGGAGGATTATGGAGGTGTACCATCCGATACCATATAGAAGTGGTGGTTGGGGAAAGAAAGCAGAAAATGCCGCAGAAATGAAACCAGCAGGGGCATAAAAGAATGGATACTCATATTGCACCGGTTCTGTCAGCATGCCTTTGCACTGATGGAGGTGAAGAAGGAGCACATAAAGTCCACACCGACAACTAACAGTTTTTCTTTCTTCTGGGCAAGCCTGAATTCTAAATTAAATTGAAGCTTCTGGAGTATATACCATTTGACACTGCTCGTGTGCTTTTCACAAGAGCTCTTCACTCAGGAACATTGTACCAAAAAACAACAGCAGCTGTGGTGTAAGAAGAGTTGCCGGATCTTTTTATTTCTATGCTTGCAGGTTCCAAAAAGAATGTAAAGCACCTTACATAGGTAGACTATCAGACAAAGGAAAATTAAAGTACAGTATAGAATTAAGAGAGAGGGGTAGCAGGAAAAAAACGTATAGCAAGTGAATACTTTTTCTCCTAATAATTTCTGTTTTTATGTGAGAATTACTTATTGACTACTGTATTTTATAAAATATACCAGTTCTTCAAACGATAAGCATGTAAGGTAAAGATTGTTTCCTTGCTTTGTAAAAAAAAAAGATTCAAAGGTTGTATTCTTTACCACAGACTCTCTTTGTACAAAAAGATGCTGATTTGTTTACTTTCATGTGAGGACTGTTGGGAATGTTAGGTGAAGAGTATGTGAAAAGCTTAGTAAGCTACACTTCTTAGAAGTCTTAAAGCCAAATGCCAGGAGTCAGAAGTAATGTGTACTATGCATGGAGAGAACAAACTACTAAACACATACTCTGAAAGTTAAGGAGCACAGAGATTAATAAAGCCAGTGAAGGCCATCAGTAAGACCTAACTATCATCATCAGCTTTCAGATTCATAAAATAGATTTCTCAGATTACAGAATGTCTTCCAGGGCTGCAACACATCAACCGGTTTTATTAGAAAATAAAAAGCTTTTTAAAGTAGTTGTTCTAAACTCATTATCTAAATGTTTATGTCAACTTTTAAAAATAAAATTTTCTCCTGAATGTTTACAAAATTCTACAGAGTAACTACATTTTGCTTAGTACGAGGAATGTGATATCGCATTCTAAAAAAAGAATTTCAAATTTTTCAAAGAAACACAAAGTGATTATTCTGGTTATGGAGCATCTGAAATGAAAAATTGCTTTTTTAAAATACCATTTTAGCTTTTGTTTTTAATCTTTTCTCAACATTTTTATTCCATAGTATCATGCTAAGAGTTGTTTTATTTTTCCCAGTTATACTAGGAGTAATCAGTAAGTGAATACAAGTATAGATTATTTTTTCACTTTATATTTTTAATAGAAAAAGCTTAAAAGACTGCTAAAATACATGTTTATCCGAGACTACAAATCAAGGATTATTAAAAGCATAGATGAGGATGATCTTCTGGAAGGTAAGCAAAAACAAACACTAAACTAAAATCACTAGTTTATGATACATGTATGCTGGATAACACCTTAATGGAATGTCAAGATAGATATTGCCATCAGTACAGATGTATTTTTTATATAATTTTTCCTTTTATAGAATTTTAGGAAACTTGTATTTGAAGTATTTCTTTTAATGATATGTATTGCTTTGCATCAAGCTATGATTAAATTTTAAAAGCTGTATTCAGTGCCTGGTCTATAGATTTCAGCTCACATAATATTTCTGTGGTGTATATAGTGAGGTAGGTATGTGTATGGTGACCTATTATGTGTCTTTTGAGAACAATGATTATGGTGTTTTGCTAGCTTATCATGAAAATATTTCATATGTTTTATGATATATGTTTACTTCATTCTGTTGTGTCATTTCCATTCTATTTGAAATGTTAAAAAAAAATTGTTAACACTGGGTAGTTTTCTGTTTCTCTATTTTATGATATTTAGAAAACCATTAATGTTACAAAATAAAATAGTGCTAAACCAAATATAGTAAATACTAAGTTCTACTCACTGATTCCAAATACTTAATTAACATTGAGATATACCTACATTTAATGTATTTACACATGTTCTTGGGAATTCCTTTTTTATTGTTTCTAATAGAATGTCATCTGTTACTGTGACTACATTGTTATATTAGGTTAATCAAGAAGATATTAGATTAAGGGGAATTTCGGGAAAATACAATCAATGATTTTCGAAATACAGTTAGTTTCCATTTATCATTGACAAATAAAGTGAAATCAGTTTATAAAAAGTTATTTCTGATCAAATACATTTCGCAGTTTCACCTGTTTAATATGCCACAATTCTCATATTTCCTGGAAAATAATTCTGCAGATGAATTTAAATGTTTCCTTCTATGGAGCATACAAAGAATACAGACTTGGGCCAAGCAGATCTGGATTCTAGTCAATCCTAGTTCTCTGCTCTGTCTGACCTAATGGGTCAGGTTTCTCATTTTAAAGAAGGAAATAATACCACTTAACATGTGGAATTCTTTGGAGAGTTCGATATAATTCACGAAAAGCACTTGATATTTGCTTTCCACTGAATAAATTACAGCTGCTTATACTATGATATGAACACCAATAAGTTCAGAATGGCAGGACTTAATATTCGCTTTTGCTGACATCTTACTAATTTGATGCACTCTCCTTATTTATTTCAAATCTTTCCTCTTTATTTTAAATTGTGAATTTAATTTTGTGCATAATATAAATCCACACCAAAATTTTATGTAAGTTGATATAAATAACCAAAGTACTCAGATAAAACCATGCGAAGAACATGGCAGTCTCTTCCAAGTGAAACATTTAACTGGTTTAAATAAATTATATATGTGTATATATATATTGTGTGTGTGTGTGTATATATATATGTATATATATATTGTGTGCTTGCATATGTAATCATGTATAGCTCCTGGAAACTTCCTCAAGAACATAACATTCAAACGAGAAACATGTATTCAAGAAAATCTACAAAATCTAGTTAACAGCAGTTTGGGTTTGCTAATAATGATCAACCACGCTCCCCCAGTTTGCTGTGACAAGCTCTATTCTGAGTCAGTGTGACAAGCAACACTTGGCTCCTGCTAACTCATGTCCCAGTTTAGAGGACGCTTCACCATAAGAAAGGTAGAAAATTAGCCCTCTTATTTCCCTGGCTTTGTGCGTCTCTCTTTTAGGCTGCTACAGCTGAGGTGATTAATGTTCTGTTGTTTCACTTATCCTGTGTTCATGGAGTTAATATTCTAGCTCATAGAATATGGGTTGAGAATATGGAGCTCTTGCCACTGGTGTAGCTTGCTCATATTCTACAGAACACCTCTTTTAGCCCAGGATTGTCTTCCCAGGACAAGTCGTTTTCTGCTCCCATGTGCTCTTGTACCATGTCCATATAAGAAAATGGAAATAATAGGGTTCAAAAGCAAATGGCCAAAATGCAAAAATTATCAGAGGCTTCAATCTGGAATAAGAATCAGTGAAACATTAAACAACCTAAAGAACAGAGATAAAACAATGGACAAAAAAATAGCAGAGCTTTTGAAAATATAAGGCATACATATTATAGGAGAATCAGAAGGAAAAGTGAAAATGGAGTAGAAAAAAAATGCTGAAAGCAATAATGACTTAGTATATACGTTTAAGTTTCATATAAGGCTCCTCATAGGACTAACACACACAAAGAAACCTGTCCTGGGCCCACAATGGTTCAGCGGTTACATCCTCTCTTGCCTACTTGGGGATCTTATATGGGCGCTGATTCATACCCCAGCAGCTCTACTTCCATCCAGCTCCCTGTTTGTGGCCTGGGAAAGCAGTCAAGGATGGCCCAAAGCCTTGGGACCCTGCATCTGCATCGGAGATGCAGAAGAAGCTCCTGGATCCTGACTTTGGATTGACTCAGCTCTGACTGTTGCAGGCACTTGGGGAGTGAACCAGCATAGGAAAATCTTTCTCTCTTTTTATCTGCACATCTGCCTTTCCAATGAAAATAAGTAAACTTTTTAAAAAATCTGCAGTAACACAGATTACAGTGAACATGTTGAAAGATAAAGACAAGGAGAAAAATCATAAAAGCTACAAGAGAAAATACCTCATTATGTTAAAGATAGCCCCACAAAACCTATCAGCTAATTAATTTATCATCAGTAATAGAGCTCGGAAGGCATCAGGACAATATTCAAAGTGGTAAAAAATTGTACAGTGAGAAACTTGTACTCAACAAAATTTCCTTTCAGAAGTGAATGTGGCAAATTCTTTTAACCTTTCTTTACTGTGGAGGAATTTTATTTCATTTTCAAAGACGAAAGAAAGCTTTGCTGGATATGTTATCCTAGGCTGGCAATTTTTTTCTTTTAGAATCTGGAATAGGTCACTCCATTCTCTTCTTGCTTGTGGAGTTTCCTGTGAGAGATCTCCTGTGAGTTTAATTGGCATTCCTTTACACGTCAATTGATTTTTTTCATGTGCACATTTAAGGATCTTTTCCTTATGTTCAGTTGAGGAGAGCTTGTTAAAAGAATTTGCCTCTTTCAAACCTGCCCTACAAATGATACTCCAAGATGTTCTCTTGACAGAGAAGAGGAATAGCACCTACCAAAAGCCAAAGGCAAACGGGAAGAACATCCCGACAGGACCCAAGTTCCACCCATACATATTAAACTCTGAATGTAACTGACTTAAGCTCAATCAAATGGCATAGATTAGTAGGCTGGATTAAAAAACAAAACCCATCTGTTTATTGTCTGGAGGAGACACACTTCAACAAAGATCAGCAGAAACTATATCGCATGGGTTTTGATGTTTTCTGTTGGTTTCATCTCTTCAAAACACTTCTGATTAAATCATTCAGTGACTCGTAGATCATGCAGTGGCATCATTTTCTTCAAGAAGGTTCATGATTTTCATTTCTTCAGCTACACGTTAGTCATTTAATAGCATGTTGTTTAACTTCTTAGTGTTGTTAATTTCTTTTTTTTCCCCCGGATGTTGAGTTTGTTTTGTTTGTTTGAGTTTGCTCTTCATTTAAGGGGATGTATAGTAGCTGTGTAATGGAGACTGTCATATCTGGTAACATGTCATTTAACTTCATGGCATTATAAATTTCTATTTTTCTTTCAATTGTTGATTTTGTGTCATGACTTTTCATTTAAGGGAGTAACAACAGTAGCTATGAAATGGAAACTAACATCCAGATGTGAGGATGCAGTGTAGTATGCATTTTTGCTTCCAAAGATAGACTTACAATGAAACTGCTTACTTTATCTTGAGAATAGGATGCTGAACTCTCTGCCCTTGTCCATGCCCACATGATGGACATATGACTGAGTACGAAGAACTATATGTTAGTAATGATATAGAGGAACTGGGGGGGGGGGGATGTGGAGGGGATAAGGGAATATGGAGCAGTATCATAAAATGATAATAATAATAAAAAGTTTTAAAAAGTGAATGTGATATAGACATTCAAAGATAAATAAAATCAAATGGTTCCTGTGATCAAATGGTTCCTGTGAACAGAAGTTCTAAAGGCTGAAATAGATGGTGCCAAATAACAATTTGAATCCACAAGCCTTCATTTGGTGGGCAGATTTGACAGAGGGAGAAGGAGAGAGAGAAGGTCTTCCATTTGCTGGTTCACTCTCCAAATGGTATTGCAGCCAGACCTGCAAATCTGAGCTGGAAGCAAGGAGCTTCTTCCGGGGCTCCCGCATGGGTCTAGATGCCCAAGGACTTGAGCATCCTCTGCTGTTTTCCCAGGCTTCATGCAGGAAGCTGGGTTGGGAGTGGAGCAGCCAGGAGTAGAATAGGCACTCCAATGGGCTGCCAGTGCTGCAGGTAGAAGATTAGCCGTTGAGCCACTGTGCTGGCCCTAATCTATGTATACAAAATTGTTAAGAAGGAACACACTAAAAACATTTATAACTAGTGACAAGTTTAGCAAGTTTGTTGGATGCAAGATAAAAACACGAAAATATCAAGTGCGTTTCTGTACATTGGCAATTAACAATTCAATGATGAAATTATTGAAATAGTGACATCCATAGTAGCATCAAAAAATACCACATTCTGGAATAAATTGAGCAAATTCAAGCACTTGTAACTGAATTCTAGATTCTAGATTGTCCAGAACCTTAAGTAGCCAGTCCAGATATAGAACAAATTTATAGGACTCATGCTTATGGAGAGTTAAAAGGCTATCCACAGAATGGGAGTAATAAAAAGAACTCTTTTTAAAAAGATTTAATTAATTATTTGAAAAGGCAGGGGAGAAACAGAGATTTCCGATCTACTACTGTTCACTATTCAGATACCCACAGTGGTCAGGGCTGGGTCAGCTCAAAACCAAGAGCCAGCAGCTTCACCTGGGTCTGCCTATGGATGTCCGAAACCCAATCTGTAGGGTAATCTTGTGCTAATTTTCCCAAGCCATTGGAAGGACACTGTATCAGAAG